GAGCAGGTAGAAAAGGCCTTCTTCCTCTGCTGGGCAGAAGGGAAGTTGATGATGGTCCTGATTATGTATGCATAGGAAAGAACTACACACACAAGGGTCATGATAAATGTCAGCACCGCACAAACTATCACTATCTGCTCTATGAGCCACTTGTCTGTGCATGAGATCTTCAGGAGAGGGTATGCATCGCAGACAAAGTGGTCAATAGCATTAGAGTCGCAGAATTCCAGATTGAGACCCAGGCTAAGTGGTGGCAGGATCACCAACAAGCCAGCTGCCCAGCAACAGAAGATAAGCCTTTTACAGATCTTGCTGTTCATGATGGTGATATAATGCAAGGGTTTGCAGATGGCTACATATCTGTCATACGACATAACAGCTAGGAGAAAAAATTCTGTCACACCAAAAAGATCAGTAAAAAATAATTGAGAGTCACAGTTGTTATATGTAATTGTCCTGTCACCTGTTGAGATGTTGTATAAGTATCTAGGAATGCAAGCAGTTGTAAATGAGATTTCTAAGAAGGCTAAATTTTGCAGGAAAAAGTACATGGCAGTTTTTAGGTGTGAATCTATAAAGATGAGAAAGATGATTGTGAGATTTCCAGTTTTACTCAGCAGGTAGGTGAGAAACAGACAGAAGAAGATCAGAGTTTTCAGCTTTGGGTCCTCAGTCAGTCCCAGGAGGATGAATGTTGTTACTGTGCGGTTTCTCATAATTGAATTGTTCCCTCTATCCAGTCTGCATTGAAAATTCAGAGTTATCTGTTCAGGAGTAGCAATTAAAGGAGAAATATTATGAAGCCCTATTCATATGCCTTCACTCATTCTGTCTGCAGACAGAAACATTCCGGTTGCTTAAGTCCTACAAATACGTAGTTTGTTCTTTTCAGGGTAGAGTTGAAAATCAAATTGCCTTATCTACACCACATTTCAAAATGTTATGGGTGCTTCCTTCTTTATGCGTCTGATTCTTAATTTATCATTTTTTTAGATTGTCCTTTGAGTTTATGTATTTCCAAGCAGTTTGTGTTGGATGCTTATGCTTCACAAGACTTAGTTACTCCTTAGAGGCTGAATCTTGAAGTCAAATTTCATCCTTTCTTTGTCCTGTTTACGTATTTCTTGAGGTTTTGTTATTTATCAAAATCGCACATAGCTTCAAGTACGTTCTTACAGGCCTTTTATTTGCTGTCTAACATGCTGGAGACCAGTATTATAATCATGAACTTTCATGTTTTCTTTAAACAATCCCTTCTTTAGTTATTA